CCATCATTTTTGCCACTGGTAAGGCCTGGAGAGGGGATCCTCTGTGTCGCTGCAGCCTATTTGTGGTCTAGCCGCTGTTTGCTTACTGCAGGATCTGTGTCAAGTATATTGTGTGCAACAGCTTGTTACCTAACAGTTGACATTGTTCATCTTTCTAGCTGTTACCGAGCTGTCCTGCCCTGTACTCCAAGCTTTCCTGAGAGCCAGGGCGTGCTTTGGCACCAGCTGTGCCCCCGAAGCTGAGCCCACTACCTCTAGGGTGTGGTGGGCTGAGTGAGGTGTGTGTGGAGCATCTTCCCTGCCTCCCAGCTGAACCCTCCTCCTTCGAGCTAATAGCTGTCAGCTTCAGAGGCCTTTGAAGTGTGCATTTTGGGGGGTTGTTGGCTTATTTGTTGGTTTGTCCCCCTTTCTGTGTCCTCCTGCTTTACTATCACCTTCTGGACATACTTGGTAACACTGTCATTGGGCCTGTATTTATTGCCTTTCTTCCATGTTTTCATCGTCCCTTAATTGTGGCATGTAGTCCCACACAATTGAATTTGTTTTGAATTTGTAGTTGTTTGGGTTTTAAAATTTATTAATCAGGCCTCTCTGACAAAGAGGCCTGTGAGAGTTTTTGGCATAGTTGTGAAATAGCGCAACTGTGAGAGAGAATTCATACCCTGGCTTTTTTTTTCACGCTTGACTTTAAGAACTGCAGTCTCCTTGCTGTAATGTGAATTCCAGAAGACAAAGGATTTGTATTTCCTTTTTTAAGTCTCTTGAAGCCTATGCACCTTTTAAAGATTTATATAAATGCGTGGCGTACATTTTGGTAGAAATAATTTGTCAGGGCGGGGCTCACACGTGTTACTGCTTCTGTATACCCTGGGAGCTCCTGGTTGGGCTGGCTGGCTGCCATGAACTGTCACTCGCCAGCCAGCCTTCACATCGGCCTGGTTTCCAGCACAAGTGGTATCCAAACCAACACATTCCCATGGAATGTTTTCGATTTCAGCAAAGCAATGTTTTCCAATGGAAAAGTCTTCCCTCAGAAAAATCTCTGCGAGCCCTTGGTCAGGCAACTTGCCGTGCCCCGGGCCCTGCCACATGACGAAGTTTCCTACTGGTTGTGTCATCAGAGGAAAAACAGTTCATCGCTTGCCTTCAGTAGAAATGGAGTCCTACTTGTTAAAAATCAATAGTGAATCCCTGGGAAGGGTTGGGTTTGATCAGGGGTGGCTCCTGGTTCCAGGCACTCACCCATTTCACACAAGCAGATCCTCACACATTAAACACTGTCGGTCGTCAGTTCTCTCAGCTGCTGGTTCTCAGCAAGCGTGTGAATACTTCATTTGCTCCCCATGGTGGTGCACGGATGCTGCAGTGACAATGAATGTGCTTCAGAGAGAGGTAGACGGATGCACTGGACGGATGTGAACTTGCGCCCCCGGATCTTGTTTTATGTCTTTGCTACAAATACTGTTGCAGCTTGGATATCCCTTTGGCTGAGGGTAGGCTTGAACGGATAGTATTTTCTGCAAATCAAACCAACAGTCTTTGACAGGTAACTGTTGGTGTTTCACATGCCGTTTTACCCATAAACTATACTAATTCATGTTATTTCATGATACCTGTTTGAAGTTTCAGCTCTCTATGATTGATCGAAGTTCATCTCCTGCCCGCCTGAGTGCCTTGTGCTCATCTACTGCTGGGAGCTAAGTCAGTCCAAACCTGTGTGTAACAAGAATGTGTTAGACTAAAAGTTTCTTCACACTGATATGAGAGTTCAAACTAGTTACTGCTTTTCTTCTAGTAGCTGTGGGGGGTTTCATTAGAAGTTAAATATTACTTGAGTCAGTGTGTTTAGCTGATAAGTTTGGGCCATCAATAATGCTAATTGCATAAATATTAATCTTGCAGCATGTATTGATTACAAAAGTAAATTCTAAAACCAGATTTTGCATTTTTGTTTTGCATGAATACAGAATATGCTGTAACTTCTATAGGAGAACCAGCCACTCTTCTCTGCTATCTTATGGACTACACTGGACAAACAATTCGTTTGAAAAAACACCTGGGATGGACCCTGTGGTTTTTTATTATAGATGGTCTTTATAAGAATTAACTTCTTCAAATGGTTTCTTAACGTGGAACGGGGAGAAAGCAGCTTTTGAACACTTTAAAGTGAGATAGTTTAACTCTGTCATTTCTCAACTTGAAATATGTTTTAATAATTAATACCATCTGAGACTTCACGCGCAAAAGTTTGGGAACAGAAAGAGAATTTATCCAACACAGATCAGGCATAGCTAAACTTCAGCAAAGCCCTGCAAACACAGAAGTTTGTTGTTTGAAAGGCTTGACCGGTCACTGTGGTATATTATTTACATGTTTGAATTCTTTAGCTTCCTTCCCTGGGAAGGCGCAGTTAATTTTCTCAGTTCATGTGGGTTTGTGCTGAATCAGATGAAGTTTTTTATGAGAGCCTTGGGCCTTTTTTCAAGTCGGAAAATAAGATAAATCACTACGGCTTTGTTTCTCTGGTGGAGACATTTTGTCTATTCAAATATATACGCTTTTCCCTCTCCTTTCTTTAACCCTCTTCCACCCATGTACAGGCATACGGCAGTCTGGGGTAAATTTTTTCTGTGACTTCATTTGAGAATTTCACCATTTTTTTTCCTTAGGCTTTTGAAAGGCATATAGTTGCCATACTGTGAATCTGATTTCTGTGGCAAATTCATACATGTACATACCTGTACACATTCATAGAAATATGCTATGGCTTTCCACTTATAGCTTGATGGGTCCTGTCCCAGAGATTATCCTGGGCTCCGATGCACTGTAAAACTGTGAGCCTGTCCTCCCAGGATTGTGAATGCCCTCAACAGCTCTTGACCTTCATGTGAGTTGAGGAGCTACACTTGAAGAGCTGGCACTTTCTGTAAGGAACGTAAACAATTGGTTACATTAAGCCCTATGAAGTGAGTGTGCGTGTTCAGATGAGTGCATGCCCCAGCGCACTCCAGCGCTTATGAATGTACACCTACTTAACTTCTTTTTGGTCATTTTGCTCACTCTTTCTCTCTGTGTCTTTCTCTCAACTCTCCTTTTTGTTCATGAGTATTGAAGGCTTTTATTGCTCATGTAATTGCTGTGGATCCTTTCACAGTCTGTATTTTAACACAGTGAAGTTTTTATATGTTAGCACAAGAGTCTCTGCAGAATAATTGTGAAAGCAGTGTGCTCTTTATATGTGACATTTTATCAGAAACTTGCTAATGCTGTCAATGTAATAGATAACATCTGTTTTCCATTTCATTGCATTTTGTGTAGTGGTACTCAGCTCAAGAGAAGACAAAAGTAACGTTGAACAGAAATGGTGTGTGGGGCTTGGTTCACAATTCGCATCCAAAGAGGAAAGTGGATTACCTTAAAAAGGCAGAGTACCTTACAGTAGTCTTACCAAAGGATACTTAGTCCCTTACTTTTAATTTGTGCTCAAATTTGGGCATAGGGCATTTATTTGTATATTGCTAGCATTGTTTCATGATAATAATTTCAAGGAAAGCTTAGTATATTAAAAATACCTATGCTTGTCTTTGAGCTTTAGAGGACTTTGAAGCCTGTTTTGTGGTTACAGGAATGACCAATCCCCCGGCAATCCGTCTCTTCCACCTGCCTTGACAACGCTGCAACAAATCTTTTCCATGTTTTTAGTCATTTCCCCTAGGTACTGTGCTTTTAAAATGTTTCACTTGAGCCCTAGGATGTGACCAGTGAACTCCTACAGGTCGTGGCTCTTGAGGACTCCCCTGGCATGGGCAGCACGGCCCGTGGGTTTCCCTGGGGAGGGCGAGCTGTGCCGCGCTGGAAGGAGGGGCACACCTGGACAACAGCCAGCTGCGCTGTTAAGAAAAGAGCAAGGTCACCTTTTGTGTCCGGGGGGGCGGTTTGGTCCTTCTGCCGACAGCCGCGGCTCTGTTCCGGTGTGGTGGTGTTGGTGGTGTGGGTGCAGCGGTGCTCTGGTGCCTTTGCAGGAGAGGAGGGGTGCGGGCGGCCATCAAGCGCTTCCTCACAGCCTCCCCTCTTCGACTCACTGGCAACGCAGGTCGGTGGAGCGGGTGCTCCGCAGTCCTATTGCCTGCAGCACCGTGGGGCTGCTCCACCGCAATGGAGAAAACAAGGCTTAGAGGATCGTACCGATGTTCCCTCCTCTTCCCTTTCCTGCGTTTGAATCCGTTCTTTGCCTTCAGCCGTGCTTGTAACGGGAGAGGCCTCTCAGAGGCCCGTCC